GAAAATTGTGTCTAGACATGATGAAATGAATCCTTATGTACATATTTTCTTCTTTTTGGTCTACATTTGCCCTTTTTTCCAGCTTATAGATGAAAGTTGATTTTCAACCTCATGTTACAGAATATAAACTCGATAGATTTCAAAGAACAACACCCTTTTTTCTTTGACTTTGAGCAATATACTGAGTATTACGAGATTTTAAATATCTAGAAAAGTGGGAGAAACAAGGTTAGTAAGTGTAGAAGCTGAAGTAAATAAGCAGAATTAGACAGAGGGAAATATTAAAATGAGAGAGGAGGAGGGGGGAGGGGGTCAGTAAAGCACAAAAGAGTTATAAGGTGGTATTAGCACCATAAGAAAAGGCAGTGCAGAAATAACAAAGAAACAATGAAGGAAGAGAAAAAGTTTAAAAAACACAGAATGCTCTTGCACATTGATTTCATATTCATACTCCCTACTTATAAATGAAGGGACTTGCCAGGAACGGTTGAAGGGGTACGTCATGGACATGTTATCAATAACCATTGTATACATGAACCATGTGAAATTAGGGTTAGGGTTCAAGTAAAGATTTAACAATAAATTTGTTATAATAAAATTCTTGTCTAGAAAATATGAATTCCAAAGACCCTCATCTCACAAAGGCCTTACATAATGTTGATACAAGCAAGTGTCAGATTATTTCAGTTTAGTTGATCAAACCAATTAAGTTAATCTAAAAAAACATGATGGATTGGCTAAAAGTTATAACAAAAAATTGCTAGGAAAGTGATAGCAATTCTAAGCCATAAAACCAGTTAAAATAAAAGCTTGAACCACTAATGAGGTAATCTGTGTATGGGATGGGATGATCGGAACCAGTGCGCCGGCCTACCTGTAAAGGGCGGCCTCATGAGAGAGTATATAAACAAGTCACGTGAGGTGTGAAAGTCAATTTGGCAATCTGAAATGGACTAATGGAAATCAAACAAGGTGTGATGCATAATTAGGGTCTGTTCTCATGGCTACAATAATGTGTTTTATTGGCTGTCCGCAAAAAAGGCCTAAGAGCTACATGTGTGTATGTATTGTCAACGGTGGTAACGGTCTTCTTGCAGATAGCCCATGATATATTTTGTCTTGTGCTATTTGTGAAGATAGGCTATCATGCTGGAAATCAATCATTAAACAAAGATCTGGTACTATTATGGGGATGTAGTGACGTGCAGATTAATTGGAATTAAGCTGTGTTGTTGTCTCACATCAGCATCAATTATATCAACAGTTAAGTGGACCCAATAGATGCAAAAACCTGCTTTTGTTAAAAACATATTTAAAGTTTTCAATTTTTTTCAAATGACGATATCATTCTCCTCAAAAAAAGTACTCTGAGAAAGTACTGCAAGTCATTTAGTTTAGTAGAAAAGGGTAGAATCTGCTTGTAGTCACCAGAATAACTCCTTGGTTAAATTCAGTAATATATCAGTTTTTAATAACAAATCATAGTTGCTTTGCAAAACATAGTGAATAGTGGCACGACAAGATGCTTCCGGAAGATAAAATGCATAAAATCTTCATTTTGTCATTCAGAGGTAGAACCACATTGTTAGGATTTTGAGCTATTAAATGCATCTGTAATCTTGATGAGGCTTAAAGTTAGCTGAATTTCTATTCAGATATGTTAAAAAAGGACTTTTATTTAGATAAATATTATGCAATTTGCATTCCGAACAAGTCTTTTTCGTGCCACTATATTTCACTTAAGTACCTGATTGGCATAACAGTTGCATAATCTTTGTGAGAACAAAGGAGTTAATGAGGGATCTTATATCACTAAGATCTTTGTTAACTCTTTAGTTTTAAATATCATGCTCCTCCCTTGCACACATCCCACACCGAGTGCGCAACTCCTGATAATACACCCGTCGAGGGTGACAATGAAAGGCAAGGACTGTCTCAGGTTAAGCATTGAGGGCGTGTTATTGTCTGTGGTTGATTGGGCGGACAACACGGAGACAGTACAGGCAGTGGACTGGATCCATCTAGGCATGATCCATGACACCGATATTTCCCCCTCTATGTGAACAGACATGTACCCAGGCCAGGCAGCCAGCCTTGTCGTCCCTGGATTATTACGCTGTTAGTTTTTATGGTGTCTAGCGTTTTGGGGGTTGAATCATGAATGTTCAATTTCATCCATTTTTTATTGAATTTTGTTATGGATGGTGGCATGATCGAGGAAGAGATATGGCCCATAATATACAGGGAGATTGGTTGTTAAATTGTTTATAAAAAAGTTGAAAGTCTGAGTCTTTGTAGATTTCTAGTGGTTTGTAGATAGTGAGGTAGCGTATGAAAATATTGATGGGAAATTTGAATGATTGACTATACTTCATATTTCAATTCAGTGGTTTGTATTTAATATTAAATGGATATCCATATATCTAGCATCATTTATCTGTTTATTTTTAAACAATTGTGAAGGTTATTTGATATTCTCATTGAAGTTTATTCTCATTCAATTACCCATTATGATCAGTCAGTGTTTTTTGTTGGTGTATTTTCCTTGAGTTAAATTTGAACATATGAATTTGACGGAGGCTGACATTCACCAACTTTGTGAGGTCTTTTGTCTTTGTTCTACTTTTACATTCCTCAGATACCCCTCCTAAATGTGTAACAAGATAAATGCAAAAATAATCTTTTTAACATGCACCTTAGATTAAAGTCTGTTGGACCTTCATGGACATCTTCTATAATGTTATACAAAGAGTAACTTTAACTTGAACAAATTCAAAAGAATTATTTCATGTTGATTTTGTGTAATAGGAACCTCTTAAATTTTGACATCACCCTTCCTATTCAAGAATTATTTGTAATCCATAATTTTGTAGAAATTATTCTTTACATGATTTTTCTAAAATAATTTTTAAAATCCAAGGTGTATCTACTTTAATCAATTATATTATTAAGATAAAAATTAATTTGTTCAGTACAGTGTTGGACTTGACTATGCCTTTAAGTAGTTTTGAAAGGATTCATTACAAGATCTTCTTTCATAGTTGACTGGGTTAAGGCTTCAATGGAATCTTGTATGGAATCTATAGGTGCATGGTAGGACTTCGCTATATACCATCATATTAAACTTACACTTCAACCCCTAACTTTTCCATCTACTTCACAAACAGGTATCTCAAATGAAATGAAATTGAAATGAAAAGTTTGTGAGGTGTAGGCCTAAGTCTGTTCTAATAGTGATGTTTGCATTCTGGGTCTGTGTGTGTCTCTCTCTCTCTTTTTCCTTTTGTCTTGTTCTTCTTGTCTTGTTCTTGTTCTTCTTCTTCCTCTTTCTTCTTCCTCTTTCTTCTTCTCTTTCTTCTTCTCTTTCTTCTTCTTTTTCTTTCTCTTCTTCTTCTTTTTCTTCTTCTGCAGCTTTAAAAATATCTACTTTATTTTAAGGGTCTTTATGTTGATGTTGTTGCTGCTGTTTTTTTGTAGTTGATTTTCTTCTTCTTCTTCATCTTCTTTCTTCTTTTATCCATCTTCAGTTTTTGCTCTTTTTGTTCAATACTGTTTTTCAAATAATTCACCTTCTTCCATTTGACCATCATACCTCGCCTTTATAAATCTTGCATGCTTGTGTGAGTCCTGAAGTAGATACCCCATCTAGCCTTATCTGAGTGGATTATTGTCAGAGTTATGAAAGTAGGTTTATCCCCAGGTACATTCTTCCGTCTAGACAATACAATTAACCTACATTTTCTACAAATGTCAAGTTTTACTCTCCAAGATTGGCTCGACAAGTCTATCATTTCCTGAGAGAAAAGAAACGAGACAAGTTCAACCACTTTCTAGATCAGGATCTCAGCAACTCCCACCTACCTGCCTGTTGCGTTTTGTTCGTGATGCCTACTTTACAAGATAAGCTTAAATGAACCATGGCTATAGAATGCAGCTTTCATCACCTTACCGCTGTAGATTCCACCACGCCTTAACGAGTGGGTGTAATTCAAGTCCCTGTGGATCTTCTTAAGCCCGTTGAATGTCTCTCTGTAACCCATCTGGTATGCTAGCGAGCGAGCGTCTTCCCTGTTCTGTCGGCAGTGCCCAGCCACGACATGATTCCTTATTGCCACTGATTAAGATACATGACCATCGTATTACCTGTCTCTACAGTCCCAGGTCATTCATTATCCTGTTGTATTGAGAGAATATTTGAAGCAATTATAGAAGCAGTCCCTCTGGTATCTTGTCCATCATGATCTGATGAAGATAAGTTAACCTTTGCACTGCCGATAGCTTCTTGGATTGACTTGGAGCTGCAAGAGTTAAAGGCACTTTCTAACATTGCCAAAATGAGGTCAAGCTCTTTCTAGGGGCTGTATTCATTGAAAAAATCAACTTCATTCTTTTCTACAAGAATTGTAATATTTAATAAAATGGAAGAAAGAATATCTTTACAGATTATGTCTCTAAAATGTAATATACAAGATGTCTCACATTTATTATGGATGTTTGAAAGTAATTCAAGGATTTATATGTTTATAAGTTTTGGATTTTCAGTAAGCCGCTCATGATGTACTTAACTTGCAATTGGGCTGTAATATCCATATTTAAGATTTGATTTTCACATGTGTTTCTAATTTTTATTGGACTTTATCAGGCTATCTGTCATATTGCTTCAGTCAATGTACACAAATCTTTTACCTTTACAAAATCTGTTGGTCTCTGCATTTTACAATTGTGTAAGAAATAAAGATATGCTTTACAATGAAATAATTTGTTTTTTGATGAAACTTTTCATTACATTTTACGTTTTATGAGATTTTTCAACATTTTATCCTTAAAATGTTAAAATAATTGCCATTCATAGTTTGACGGAAATAAAGCCGGGATGATATTTTTCTGAGCTCTTTATATGTTCTTATATGCATTGTTACATTCACAATGTGCTCAAAAGTGGATTATAATTATTAATATTGCTTGTTTCTTCTTTTCCCTTTTCTGTCTTATCTTTACAGCCAGAGAATCTACTATTCTATAGTCCTGATGAAGATTCAAAAATCATGATCAGTGATTTTGGGTTGTCCAAGATCGAGGGTCAGGAGGGCATGTCGACAGCCTGCGGCACGCCTGGTTACGTAGCGCCAGAAGTTCTGAAGCAGCTGAATTATGGGAAGGAAATTGACATCTGGTCAATAGGTGTTATCACATACATTCTGTAAGTGCATGGCTAATATGTAATTCATGCAGTTAGTCATAGGTGGGCCCTCCATTTTGTTTTTTCTCTGATTCCGATAGAAGAGATATTTTATACAAAGCTTGTTAGAACAATGTTATGAATAACACTTATGGTGTAGAAAAGAGTATGGAAAGCAAACTCTATACACATTGCAAAGCTGTGTGTTAACAGACTGATAGAATTATGGAATGTCCAAAGATTGGCAAGTCCAGGGTAGTTTTTGTCCCTAATATTACAGACTATATCACAGAATCCAGTATACCAGGGCCCCCGGTGCACAAAGTCTAGCCATTGATTATATGATAGATTGGTTAATGGTACATATAGATCTTTAGTAAATTAGCAATCAGTCATCGATGTTTCCTAATGCTACAGGGCCCTGCTGTTTGCAAATAGTTGAAGACCCACTATAGCCTTTATCAGATCAATCATCAATTATGCTCCCTATTATGTGATACTTGGTAATACATAGGACACAAAAAGACTAAACACCTTTGACTTGCCAGGATATAAAAGTTAAGAATCTGTATAATTGTTTTGTTTATCACGAGCCAGATTGACAATAGTTTTTTGGCGAAATTTAGGAGTCAATGTCTTTCTGGTCCTCGGGAGATAATTTTATGTTAGTTGCATGAGTCTAATAAGTAAGAAGTTGCATATTGATAAAGACAACCCTTTTTTCATTTTAATTAGGTGAATTTTAATGTAGAGGTTCAGAGAGAAACTGGTCAATGAAATAATCATGCTGGCAATTCATTTAGTATCCATCAGAAATTATTCATTCTCTAAAGAATTCATATGATTTCTGAAAATATATCTGTTGCATTTCATGTCTGTACAAATTTAGTTCAATCACTTTTAACCCCTCAAAAAGTACAGCTTCACTATAAGAACATGTACTGTAACAAATATCAACAACATCTCAAAATTGTTTGAGGCCAGGTACGTGATTGCATCTAGAGATAAAGCCATAATCTTATCTCATTAACCTTTCCTTTCTCTGATCAGATTATGCGGTTATCCTCCATTTTATGATGAAAACGACTCCAAGCTCTTTCAGCAGATCATGCGAGGGGACTATGAATTCGACTCTCCATACTGGGACGATATCTCAGATTCAGGTAGGGTTTTGAAGACATCCGTCTTTTCAATTATTCCACCATCTTGCAGGAGAGAAAATGTGTATATTACTCATTTTTTGCCACTGAGTTGAAATAGCCCCCACAGTGGTGATGGTGCAATGTTTGTAAAAGAATCCAACGACGCAATGTAATAATCTGAAAGTAATCTGAAAAAGTCTGAAAGTTGGTAATGAGAGTGCGTTTGAAAAGAGTGATGAGTGAAAGTGAATTTCATGGTACATTAATAAGTATCACGCATAAGCGTAAGCATATAATGACCACATATTTTGTTTACATAGCATAGTTCTCCCTATTGAAATTTTCATCAAAGGGGATATTGCGTAGAAGCACCGGTCTATATAAAAGACTAAAGTAATCATGATTCCATTTAGCTTTGAAATGTAATAATGCAGCACTGAACAAGGAAGAATAGTTTAAATGCACATAGGACGATGGGATCAATATTTACACCAGGGTTATTACAAGGAAAATGTAGTATCCGACTTTGTGGGTGATTATTGCTCTATACAAATGAAGGTGGTTTGATGTGCTCTTTCAATTATAGTGCAATACAATACCGCACAATCATGGAGCCGATAAACACTTAACAGATTTTTAACAAAATCCAACATCGCTCCACGCCTGCAATATCCGACTCTGATGGGTTACCATGGTAACGGCATGTAGGCTGGAAATATTGCCAAGTGCATTGCACTCTCTCTCTCTACAGCTTTCTTAATCTCACACACACGTTCTCTCTTACATTCTTTCTCTATTGACACGATTACACAATTATAAAATTGTGAATTGTAGTGTGTGTTCACATCTCACTTCCATATATATTGCTGTCTGTTTTTTTTTCTCTATGTGTACTTTGTTTTACTTTTCCTTTACTGCTTTCTCTTCCTTTATGAAAATATATCCTTTTTCTTCTCCTCCTCTCTCACTTTCTATATATAGCTCACCTTAGTCTCTCCCTCTTTAAAAAACTGTTATCCTTGTCTCTCTCTTTCTCTTCTCCTCTCTGTCACCCCATTTCCCTCTATGCAGTATAACTCTGTTTTTTATGCTGAAGAAATCTGAAATTCAAAGTCACACACAAATGTGTGGGTTTGCTTGTGATATGTGTGGTATAGGAGACTTAATAATAAAACTGTTTGATCACTATCTTCGTGTTCCCAGTGATACATCTTCGAACAGTTCATTCCCACTCTTATGACTATAGCATCTCATACTCCCATTGAAATGTCCGATATACTTCCATTAAATGCAGTGTCAACTTATTAATGATGGAACCAACTTTGACAAGGACACACTTACGCAATTTGAAGGTAAAAGGGATGGATCGATCGAGGGGCAGAGACAGAATGATGAGAGGTTCCAATAGAATATTATCCTCCTCTTCCATGGAAGGCATGCAAGTGGAGTGTAAACATTTAACACTCAACTGCATACATCCATGTCACCAGATTTGAATTTGAATGTTTATCATGATGATTTAAATGTTGGTTACCTCTCCAGCTAGTAGAAGCCTGCCGTTGACTTTCTACATGCATTTTTATGTGATATGATTTCTGTATGAAATACAGACAGATTTAATGATGCAATGAATGTATTGATGGAGCCCAGACATCACTGTTCTTGAATACATTTAGACAGTGATGCTGCATGGGCTCTGCCATTTTATAGGGGTCACTGTCATTGATTGGGAGGGGGGGGGGGTCCTTATACATGGGCGTAAATCTGCAATTGATACCTACTGTTCAGGGGGGATGATCTATTCATTCATCCCCCCCTGAACAATAGGTATTACGTAAGGATTGACGCCCATGTCCTTATATATTGTGGAAAGTGAATGAAACAGGCCACTGGTATAATGTATGTAGGAGGGGCTCCTTTTATTGTCCACATTTGTTTCCTTCTCCCTTTATTTTTGCCCTGGTCTCCCCCCCCCCCTCCCCCACCTCCCCCCCTCCCCCACCACTGCATTCACACAAATTATGTTTGCTGTGTTACTATTAAAATGATGCTAGCAAGGAAATCCTTCATTCACTACACTTTAACAAATGCCCTTATAAATGGCCCCATTTAGGAATATACAATCTGAAGCTGCTTAGCATGATTATTTTGGCTACAGGCCCGGTAAACAAGAAAACAACTGAAAAGTAAGAAAAAAAAATATAATTAGGGAGTGATATTTAGTTTTCATCATCATTTTCATCATCATCGTATCATTTTCAACATCATCATCATCATCATCATCGCCATTATCTTATCATCATCTTCATCATCATCATCATCATCGCCATTATCGTCATCATCACCATTATCGTCGTCGTCATCATCATCATCATCATCATCATCATCATCATCCATCATCAACATCATCATCATCATCATTATCAACACCTCCACCATCAAACTCCCTTCACCTTCATCATCTTGCCTCACAATTAAGTACACACAAGACACATTGCACAGCGATCGCACGTTCCATAAAGCCTGCATGAAATTACATGTAATATAGCTGCATCCTGTTGATTTGATTCCCCTTCAATCATGCGCAAGCAAGAAAACATCATCCCTTCCTTCCTGGCAATGTCTCCATCCGGCTTGACGGACCAAGCGGGTCGATTATCGTCCCCGGTGCTGCAAATCTATGCATTGCTCATTGATAAGTCGGCGTATCGTTTTAGGGTTCACGGGAGAATGAGAACACCGACAAATGGTTATTTTGGGAAAGGAAGAAGTAAAACGTCTTGTTGTGTGAGAGGTTTAATACGGGACGATGCATTTGTCGTTCTCCATTGATTAGGTTATCCATGCAGCATATGCTTGTTGGGTTTAAGGGTAGCTGTGCGTGCATAATGGATACATGTGTATTTATAACTCAGACACATGTACTAGGAAACTTTATTGCAGATTTCTAGAACATAATGATAATAATAACTAAACGTTTTTGGATAGCGCATAATACATCAGCATTATTGCATGTCTATATGCACTTGGGCTTGATGTCTGGAATCAAACTACAACCTTTATTTTCCTCTTTCATCTTGGGTTTAATTAGCATTGAAGATGAACTTGTATTAAAATCGAGTTGAGTTTTACTATCAGGCTATTTGTGGTACTGTATAAACTGTTCTCTAGTTTTTAAATCTGCAAATGTAGTGGATATAATCAACATTAAATTTCAATATTCAAAATTCAAAGAAACAAAGCTGAACTGCATGTAGATGAAGGTACATGCAGAATGTCAAAACCCACTGAGATGTTGATGGTGTTTAATACTAATGCATTAAAAACCAATTTAAAGCATGTTAACCTAAAGAAGAGATGAAGCATGATGACAAAGGATGATAAAAATTGATATCTTACTGCATGACCCACTAATGCTTATTCCATACATCGTTATTAAAGCTCTAACCCCCCAAGGATCGCTGCAACTTTTTCCTGCATTTTTCAGGAGCATATATCAGGCTTTTAGTAATAAGGGAGATGGAACCAGTCCTTAGGGAATAAATTACTTATTCTAAGGGTGCTATCATGATATCATACTCTTCTTCTGTCCATTTTTCAGTGATAGGATTAATAGAGCAATTCAGTTCATGTATTGATCTCAATTGAATTCACAGAAGTACAGAAAAAGAAAAAAGAGATGGTAGTTCGGTGGTAGCTCGGTGGTATGTAACTAGGAGGTCCTAGGTTCAAACCCAAGTTGATGTACATGTATAGATGCCCTTTGATAAGGTGTGAAGTTCGACAGATGGTATTTTTTTCCTTCTATTTCTACTGGTTGCCTGTCAGTAGGAATACATCACCATCATCATCTTCATCGCCATCATCATCACCATCACCATCATCATCATCTCCAACATCATCACCATCACCATCATCATCATCACCATCATCATCATCATCATCACCATCATCACCATCATCATCTTCATCGCCATAATCATCACCATCATCATCACCATCATCATCACCATCATCATCATCTCCAACATCATCACCATCACCATCATCATCATCACCATCATCATCATCCTGATCATAGACTTTCAGAATACAAAAATGGAAGTCGTACTTGCGAGCTTGCACCGAACCCTGTTCAAGCAGTTAGTTTCAGATGAAATACCCTCGAAATGCCAGAACCGAGGACCTGGGAATACGCGGATCATGAAAAAGACTAATGAAGTCTCCAATGAAGGGTGCAATAAATAGCAGTTTGATCTTCATGCCTGACTGGATAGCATGTGGTTCCGTGAGTGTTGTCTCTGCCCCATCGATTCAGCTACGATTCAGTTGCCAATTTGAGGCTGCCTGGAAGATACGAGATGCTATGAACAAGCTGGGAGGATGTGACTGTTGTTGATAGTGGTCATCTTGATTCCTGATGATGGTCATACAAAATGGTGGTGGTTACGATAGTACATTGCCATGCTTCTAGGAATCTAACTTTAACTTTTCACCTTTATCTCCTCACTATATTGATCTTGCGGTCTCTATATCTCTCTCTCTCTCTCTCTCTCTTCCCACTTTCTTCACTTTCTTCTCTCTCTTTGTCCCTTCCTCCCTCCCTCTTTTTTGTTTCTATATCACCCACTTATTCTCATATGATATCTCATCTTCGGTTGAACTCCCACTTATGTCTCTCCCCATCTCTTTTTTGTGTGTCTTTCTCTCTCTCTCTCTCTCTCTCTCTCTCTCTCTCTCTCTCTCTCTCTCTTTCTCTTTAAAAAAAAACTTTGATTTTTATCTGATTTTATCTCTATGCCCCCCTAAAAACTGCCCTCTCCTTGTGTTCTTCCTTTCCCTGTGATCTTCCTCTCCTGTGATCAAATGATGAGTACTGGTAGATCAAACATCAGGGCCTTGAGTATATATCATGTGCTCAATTTATGCTGCTCTTCAAGAGGTTTCATCAGATCTTGCATGAGGATGCCCTGAATTTTTCGTTACTAAGGACGAAGTAAACCTGTCAGATTAGGGTATGGATTGCAATGATGTTCTTGATTTGTGGCTGAAGTGATATCCCTAACCGCTTCAAATGTGTTGATGAGTTATGAACAGGGATTTTTACGACTCCCTTTTAGGAAAAAAACACAGAGCATTGATCTAAAAATGTCTCATCCGCATTTTAGATTGCATGAATTCAAGGATAGAGTTTCTAGAAGGCCATATTAAATTTCCATGTAGTGTTGCATTTCAAATTGGTTTAAAATTTTCCAGAATTTGTACAAATATGTTTCCTGCAAAAGAGCCATGTTGGCTCTCGGTATCTTCTGGGAGAAAGCTAGATTTTGAAAGTGGCTTCATCTGAAAGGGAATGATGACTTTCCCCAAATTAAAATGAAGATCCTTCAGGTACTTTATTAAGTAACTAAAAACAGATTCTCAACAAAATGGCAATACATGATCCATTATGAGGCTGAATGTGTTTGAAAACACTGATACCTGGTTCCTATAAAATATCATTCCCTTGAACTGAAGGCATATATATATTGTGAGGAAAATTTAGTGCCTACATGTTCAACAAACCTAGGACGTATTGACGAATAGAAGTGAAGTTGATGAAAATCAGTGAAGGGGCCAGTCTTAGATAGAAGAAGTAATGTGCTGCCACATTGCTAGGAATCTATTGTACATCATTTGAGGCCTGAAAGGATCCTCAATTAGTTTTGTTTTTAAAGGAAAATACAATGTGTGTATGTATGTAGTCTCCAAGGTTGGCACAAGGTATGTAAATTTGGAACCCTTGGCTCATAGAGGCGAAATACAGTTGCCCCTAATGTTCTCTAAAGTTGATACCTTCATTGTATAAGCACACTGGAGGCAGTGTTCATAGCAAAATGAGGCAACACAGTGGATTTTGGCTGAATGTTATTACAGGAAATATGTATCACATGCCTCTGAATTGGCACAAGGTATGCAAATTTGGAATCCTTGGCTTATAGAGGCCTGAGGTTGCATCACTGCCTTCATATGGAATAAAGTCGATATCTTGTTTGTGTATACACTCCAGAGGCAACATTGATAGCAAGAGGAGGCAACACAGTGGTTTGTGGCATGAGGTTGAATATGAAATATCCAAATTAGTATAGGGTATGCGAGTATGAATGTTGTTGCATGAAATTCATGTGCTTGAATCGCCCTCATATGGAATAAATTTGATACCTTGATTGTGTATAAAGCACCCCAGAAGCAGCGCAGTAGTTTGAGGAGTGAAGAAATATTTATCAAATTATCTAAATTGGCATGATACATGCAATCCTGAAACGTTGTAGCATGTAGTCAGGGGCAAAAGGCATGTGGTTGAAGTTGGTCTTCATATTGAATAAAGTTGATACCTTGAATGTGTAAGCACTCCAGAGGCAACGTTGAGAGCAAGTCGAGGGAGCCCCATGACCTTTCTAACTTATAAATGAGCAAGGTAAGAGACACTCCCCGTACATTTCCACTCGGGTATCGAAGCGATACATCAACTCAATTTGATTGGGATCAGTATACAGGAGACCTGGGAGCGTTTGACTTGCGAACATTCCTTTTAAAAAAATAGTAACAAAATTCATGACCCAAGGTGCATTATTCCTATAAAATTGGGTTTATTAGATTTGTAGAAGCTTATTATACATGGAAAGTAATCATTAGTTTTGATGATGATCAAATATATTGTATTTCAAGGAATTCATTGGGACAAAAAGAAATTGGCTGCACACAAAAATAGCCCTTTCATATACCTATTGGTTTGTGTGTTATACAGAAACATACATGTCTTTATTATTATTTTGCAGCAGCATATTTAAAAGTCTTTTGCATCAACCCATATGAAAAGGCTATCTGGGGTACACTCAGTATAAAAAAATGGACACTATTTATTATTAAGATTTTCAAATAAATACTTGATATAAACTTAACTTTTCTATATAACAAAAATAAAAAGATAAATTAAAACTTTTTGATAAGCAATTTGAATCAAACCATTTACACTAGAGTGAGCATAGCCATTTAATAATAATAAATGAGTCTCCGAAAAAAATTGCCAAAAAGGGTCATCTGGCCATTCAAATGTTAATGAGCATTTCCATCGTGTAGAGTCATATTTAAACTTAGAGCCTGGGCATCTTGACAATGCTTGTCAAAACCCATGCAGTCCTGAGACTACAGTTGACTTCCAAAGCTCTAGTTATCCTTCTCATTGTGTTTTTATTATTTGTTTTCATTGGTGAACAAGATTAGAGATTCACATGTTAAGTTACGTTTGAATGACTACTTGCTCTTTTTTGTGCAATTTCTGAATCAGACCTTCTAACAATTACGTGAATGTGCCCAGCCGGCGACGGCGACGGCGTCAACATCAAAAACTTAACCTAAGGTTAAGTTTTTGAATTTTTGGTATAATTTTTAAAGTATAAGTTCTTAGTCAATGAAACTTTGACTATAGGGTAATCAAGTATCCCCAATCATGTGAGTAGAATTTCAGATCACAAAGTCAAGGTCAAAGGTCATTTCAGGTCAACAGACTTGGACTATGTTGTAGCATCATCATTGAAAACTTAACCTAAGGTTAAGTTTTTGAATTTTTGATATAATTTTGAAAGTATAAGTTCTTAGTCAATGAAACTTGGACTATAGGGTTATCAAGTCTCCCCAATCATGTGAGTAGAATTTCAGGTCACTAAGTTAAGGTCAAAGGCCATTTAAGGTCAACAAACTTAGACTTTGTTGTGGCATCAACATTAAGATTTTCAAAATGCTTCTTCTTCGTTATTTTTCAACCGATTTTGATTCTGATTGTTTCATATGATAGGGCTAGGAGGGAATTTAAAATTTCTACACAGAATCGTGAAATTCATTATCTATGCTAATTTATGCAAATTTATTCAAAATCACAAAAAAGGCTTCTTCTTCATTTCTCGACCGATTTTGATTTGGTTCGCTTTATATCGTAGAGCTAACTTTGGTACACTAAACTTCTACACATAATTTTGAAATTGTCCTCCATTAATTAATTATGGTAATTTATGCAAATTTATTCCAAAAATAACAAAAATTGCTTCTTTTCCCTCATTTCTTGACCGATTTTGCCTTATCTGGTAGAGCTAAATTTGGAACAATAAACTTCTACACAGAATTGTGAGATTTTGCTCCATTGATTATTTATGGTACTTTATGCAAATGAAATGAAATTATGTCCCTTCCAGGGCATCAAATTTCTATTTTTTGACCAGTTCAAAAGTGTACCACATAAAATTTACGATATTTGTTGTTGTGAGATGCGGATGAGCGCTTCGTCATCGACGTTCTGGTTTATCATATTGAATTGCGTTATGCAGGCGAGACCGCCGAGAGCGTTTCCCTTGTTTGTTAAAGCTGAGTGTATTACATAATCAGGACAGGATTTCTGTATACAATGCAATAGGATACATTCAAGTTGCCTTTGACTCTATTTTAAAAAAAGTTTTTGTGATCATGTTCCTCCTTTCCTCTATCAGAGAAAGAAGGAGGGTGGATTGTCACCTGGGTAGTTTTGCACCAGTATGATTGAGGTACTCCCTGACCTTTCCAGCAATTTAAGGATAGTGGGAAGGGGTGCTAGGTGACAGATGTATCGCTTTCTGTTTTTGTCTCGATGCTAACATCTGTAATTCGGGGTTATGTCATCAGTCTGGTACGGAAGATATGCTGGGAGAGATGGATAGAGGGAAGGGTTGAATCATAGGAGGGAGAAAGCCAGTGAGAGAGAGAGAGGGGGGGGGGGTAAAGAGAGAGGGAGAGACAGAGAGAATGGCAAAGAGAGAGAGAAGGGGTGTAACATTTAGTAGGAAAGAGGAAAAGGGGAGAGACCTGTGCAGGGAGAACATGGAGGAGGGTGAGGAAATGCAAATAAGGGTAAGGAAGTGAGAGAGCGAGAGAGAGACCAAGAGGGACAGAGAGATACAGAGACAGAGACAGACAGAGATAGACAGAGACAGACAGAGAAGAGAGAGAGAAAGAAAGAAAGATAGAGGTGAAATATAGGATAGGGAATGAGGGAAATTCATAGAACAGAGATGTAGGAAGAGGTAGAGTGGTAGAACTTGAAGTGGAGATAAATCGAAAAAAGGAAATTAAAATACTTTGAGTGAATTTCACAGTGACAAAAATACATGAGGGCTCGAGGCAAAATCGCCCCCGAAATGCCCAAAACAGCCCCCGAAAATAATATAAAGAGCCCCGTAAATTTGCATAGAGTTCAATGCAAAACATTATTATTATTACATGTTAATTTCATGAAGGCAAGCTTGAAAAGTAGCCCTCCAAACATAGTTTCTTTTCTTTTCTTTTCTCCCTGATATCGAGAGCTGCAGAAAGTTGGTTTTCATACAAATGCAATGTAATCTACTGAAGATGTGAAAATACCATTAAGAAATACCATTAATACAAAATATAAAAGAGATGCAGATAATTCAACAAAGGAAAAGGTCAAGGGGTCGACCCCTACTGAGGCTACATCGCCAGTATGAAGGGTCCTTGATTCTTGTGATGGGGAGTTGCCCCCTCTCCTCATGATTTTGTGTTGTTGATGAAGTGTATACTTTTGGACCTACATGCATTTAGGGTATTAATGCATTCGCCCCTTCCACCTCCTTATGAAGGTGGGTCAATATTTCTGTCAATAAGTCATATCGTTAATCACCAACATCACAGCTTACACCAGAGGATCACAATCCCCCTGTACAACAAACACAACATTCTTTCAAGCATCACCGCATACCCCCACAAAGCATCTGGCAATTAGTTCTGCAAAACTCAACAAGGTTTTTAATCTGTTTGCCAACCTTTTCCTCTTTTTTTCTTCCCTCTGTTTACAGCTAAGGATTTCATCAGGCATTTAATGGACGTGGATCCAAACAGCAGGTATACGTGTGAAGAGTCCATCGCTCATCCCTGGTGAGTATTCTCCAAGACATCGTCTCTTGTCTCTCGTCGTGGGTTTTCAGTAATTAGTTAAAGCCTTGTTTAAACACGATTTTTATAAACTGCAATTAATATACAAACTACAGCCATAGATAAAGAACCCACTACAGGAAAGTATTGTGCATGAGAGTAATAGACCTCAAGAATCTTATGAAACACATTATTCATAAGGCTATACTTGTATACACAGAGCCTGACAATTACCTGATTCAAACCAGTTTCCTGATTTTGGAGGGATTTTTCCCCAATTTTCTTACTTAAAAGGGGGAAATGTTGTTAAATGCCACCCCCTCCCCCCCCCCCCCCAAAAAAAAAACCTTGTTTGTTTTTTCTCAAGGGGGGGGGGGGTGGTTGAGGAATTTAAAAAAAAATTGTGCTCACTATCACCCCTGATACACAGATATTTTTCAACCCATGTGCCATTCATTTAACCATACCATAAATTAATATTCTATTTTTGTAGTCACTTTTTTAAAGAGGCAATAATTTAAGTTATTTCAGATTGATATGGATTCATCCTGCAGAATACTCTAGATCAAACATATTGGTAGTAGTAGAAGTAGCCATCACTGTAGCCTACCATCCGTAGTAGATGTGGAAGTACTAGTTTTCAGAAATAATTCATATAATTATCGTCTGTTTGGAGCCAGATTGGTGTTAACTCATATATTTAAAAAGAAAGTTTAAGCCCTTCTGTCTCTTATCAAAAGAGATATACCGGTAAAGATCTCACTGTTATTCTAGTCCTGAGTCATATGTATGGTGTCTTTTAATAGTAGCCCCTGGAGGCAAATTAGTCCACCATTTAAATGCATTTTCTTTTCTTACCGAAGGAAGGGAGGTCAATTCAAACGTGTTCGCATCCATTCTTTTTCTCTAAATTGAATAAAATAGATCTGTACTTGATATGATTCATATACGTGGTGAATCAATTTGGTTACTTTGTTATTAAGTTCTGCAACCTTATTTGATTATAGTCGATAGGCATTACTCATGCTCTTTAATTCGTAGTAAACGTATCCTCTGCCGAGAGCTGGAAGGGTATTCACTCTAATTTAAATGTTATAAATTATGGCTCTCATCAAATAATATGTAGTATTTGTGTCCAATTTTTTGCTTTGTGAGATGTTATTTATTTAATGCATTTTTTAAAAAAATGTAGGAATAAAAAGTTTGAATTCTTCAAACTAGAATTTTGTAGTGTTAAAATTACAATTCACATTTTCCCTTCTAACTTTATGTAACTTTTATACAATCCCATGATATATTGCAAGAAAATTTGTAACAGTGAATTAGTGATAGACTTAAGAGAAATATGTAAGTTTGTCTATTTTTGAAGGAGGAAAATGTTGAACCTTGTGCCACCTGTTCATGAAGCAATTCCCTGATGGGTTAATGTAAAACAGAAGGGTATATCTGGGAAGTTTGGGTGTAGTCATGTTACAGTGAAAGATAGATTATCCATGTTTTCGATTTGAAGAGAAAGCTTTTCAGATATCCTTTGGTGAGATCTTGTGAGAGCTTAGGTTAGAGATTGGATTGACGATTGGGGGTCATGTGGGTTAGTCTAGGATTCTGTAGAAAGGAAGAGGGCACACTTTGAAGAAAAATCTCTCGACATGAAAAAGAAAGAGTTATCACATTTGCAGGTGCAAATTTACTCCAGAAAATTTCTGACAAGCAAAATAGGACCTTGACAAGTATGACATGTGGACTCGGTAGATGATCAAATTTTGGGAAAACTTATGATATGCCAGATTAGGTCTTAAAAGAAGAGGGGTGGACACGAGCCGGTTGTGCCCCCAACCCCCCCCCCCCCCCGCCTCAATCCACCACTGACTGGTCCCATCTCCAATGATGATGGATTAGGATGAAGTCATCTGCTGAGATGCAGAAGGACGTTAACTCATATACCTCAATAAAGGCTTAACGTCCTTCTGGCTCTCAACGGATGAAGTGATTGGAGAGAGAAGGCAGTGCAGAGGTGTCACCTGGCTCCCTCATTAGATTAACGGCGTTAACGGACAGGATTCGCTCATGCCCGCCATAATGTGCCACTTCCGAAAGTGGGCAAACGTATACACCATCCTCTTCTACTCCAATGACAGTATAAGTGAGGGAGCACATATCCCCCCTTTCAGACTACCTATATTTAATGTACAGCTTTACGATAAGGAATTACCTTTACTTCTAGTCTGAATGACATAAAAGGGAACATCATGAACAAAATGTTGTATAACAAAAATGCACAATAGAGCATCGTTTTGAACAATAACTTGATGGAGAGTCAGGGTCGCATTCTAGTCTGAGCATCGTTAAAAAATGTATAACTTTGAGGAGCTCATCGTGAGCATGTACTTATGATTAATTGGCCTGCTGTCATGACAACCGACTTTTTCAAAACTAGTTCATTTATATGATGTTCTTATTCAGTCTGTACACCCCTTTCACTTTACAATGATTCTTGTCTATAGAGACCGCCCAAGGGAAACACAAAAAGTGATTTTTGTAGACAGGTCCCTTTAGTACATGTTTCAATGAGAAACTATTTTCAAGGGAAACAAAAAATTGGGTCTTTGTAGACAGGTGGTCACTAAAGCAGGTTTCACTGTACTATAGCTTTTAAAATTTTTCCTTGAGTCTGAATTAACAGGCCATGAGTCTGCCGTTAGATTTGTCTCTCGTGGGTTGTGACAGGAGGAAATTCAGCTTCAGATGCACTGTCCCATGCACTTTTCCACACCTTTTAGATTAATTGGGCATTACTGCGAACAGTGCTCACACCTGATTTTGGTGTTGGCTTTATATTTATAACCAATGTCACCCAAGGTCTTTCACCTTTACGAAGAATTTTACAGACAGACCGTGTCATTTCCTAGAATTGCTTTTGCTTCTGCTTCTAACTTCAGTTTTTAATTTGGTATTTAAAAAAAGAAGCTGCAGGTGTGAGGAAGAACTTGTGAGAAAACCCAGCTTGTATTTCTGGAACCTGAAAACAAAGTGCCATTAACTCATTGACCTTTAAAGACCCTCTGCACTACTTGTAGCTACTTGCGCCCTCTATATAGAAAACAATGCCTAATCGGTGCCTGTTGGTCCCCCATGATCCCCTTTTTCTTATGCTAATTGAGAGCTGATTTGATGATATAACCACCTGTCAGTGACCACGCTGGGTGGTCTAATCCCTCCTGGCCAAACTAGTACAGACAGGCTTTAATACCTAACAGCTCTTCAAAAGTCCATCATGTAATCTTTGCCATCTACACCGTATATCTTAGATTGGACTAGAATTCACAATGCATGTACCTATATCTGTTTCATGATGACAGAATGAGATGACACTTGAGACAAAATTCTTGGCCAGGATTTGTACTCAGAAGGGGTTAAGAAGAAATATTTCAAATGTCAGAATTCAATCAAATGAATCTCTATTTTTTTTAGAAAATAGCTGTAAAAAAATAATCTTAAAAATGCATCGTGAATAAGAATCAAGATATACATTGTTTTTATTCAAACAGCAAACTAGATAAAAGCTCATAATTTGCTTCATTGTAGAATTTTTGTGTGCACATAGCTGATTGATTAAGTACAGACCATGACATGGTATGACATGGTATGGGGCACCAAATAAAAAGAAAACTGCTGTATTTTGGGGTTCTTGGGGCCATGAACAGACTTTAAAAAGCTTGTTGATACCAGCATTATAGTTGCATATTAGTCAAATCATTTTTTGGAGTTTTGCAGTGCTGAATTATTTGATGCTCCGTTGTATTCCTTTTCACCGATTGTCATTGAAGCATGTAGCTGAGTTATCCCTTTAACATTTAGATGAAGGATGGAACATTGAAGAGAGTCACCTCCGTTTTGAAAACCAGTGCATTGAACCGAGCTTAATCAAAACATTCATTGTAGATGCTCCAATTGTTTCCCCCTCCATCCGGTCATTAGGACATGAGGGACCACTGCTCTCAAACCTAGAAAATGTCTTTTTGTTATTGGACATTTCTTCTTTATTTATATTGACCTGTTTTGTGTGTGGATTTGGCTCACTTGGCAAGCAGTGACCTGATTATTTTGGCCCCATGAAATGTGTCCCAAGTCAGTCAGTCACTCAATAGTGTCTGACAGTGAAGTTTAGAAAGTAAACAGTTTTTTTTCCTTGCATAATTTGAATACTAGGACACTGCTAATGTTTAAATTTCATAAATGGGACATACGTGACAAATTCATAAGTGCTGCAAAGTTCTACAGAATTCAATATTGGCTGCAAAAGGGATACACCACCTTTAATGTGGTTCCCAATATTATGTATATATCTTTTAACCCATTGAAAACTGGAATCAGGTGGTCCCACTGTTGAGTGTATGCAAATGAGAGAATTCAGTACAGAATTCAAGTTCTCTTGAAATCCGTTATCAGGGCCCCATTTCACAAAACTTGTCATCAGTGACAAATGACAGTTTTCATTATAAGGTAGTGAAATCCTTGCTTCTGATTGGTTATCAGCAGATTTGTCATTGATTTTTGACATTTGTCATTGAAAAAAGGCTTCATGAAATGGGTCCCTGGACTTGATTTTAGCTTTGATATCCAAAACCAGGCAGATTCTTGACTACTCAACACCCCTCTCCGAGAAACAGGTCGAAGTTGATAACTGGTCTGGGCCAGGAAATGCGCTGTAAAAATGAAGTGCATCATCCCTTTTTAAGGACCATAAACTTGATTATATGAGTTTGTTGGAAGAAAATGCTGTCTTTCTAGCTTGTTTTACCTCTCTTTTCTTTCTTTAATCTTTCATTCTGTCTGCTTCTCTCTCTTTCTTATTGTCAACTCATCTTTAAATTTTCCCTCTTTTTTTTCCTGCACATCAGTATCCTCCTCCCCTCTCCCATCTCTCTCTCTCTCTCTCTCTCTCTGACTCTCTCTCTCTCTTATATTGTTATTTCAGTCTATCCTATTTAACTTCTCTCTTC